GGCATGGGCAACAACTGCAAGGCTTGCGACATGCCAAGTTGGTAATGGGGAGGTACAATCTCAGCAGGTGTAAATTTTAATTAACCTCCCTAGAGATAAACTCAGTTTACTGGTCGCATTTTACACCGGCCACTGCAAGCTGAATAAGCATTTACACAGCATGGGGGTATCTTCTTGCGTAAACTGTCGGTTTGGACTTTATCAATATGCTAGGGCTATGTGAATATTTATGATTTAGGAGAGGGCATAATAGTACATACAATAATCTAACTCTCCTTTACAGATAATGACTTAACAACACACATTTTGGACGATAATTTTTCCTTATATGAGATACATATACTGCAGTCACAAAGGAGCGAGAGGGTGAATCACAGGTGAAGGACCTTATATCGAACTGTTTTCTTACCTGATTTATACCTACTTTCAGTCTGTTTGCTCTTACTACACAAATGTCAAAACAGAACTGACATTAGAGGTAATTTGCAAATATTATAGCATCTAGGAGGATTACTTTTGCGCCACCCTATAGTAACAAGACGCCAGAAGTGGAATTGTTCAGGAAAATTGCGATCACTTTAGACATGCGTCAAGACTAGTGCGATCATCAAAAAATGTACTTCATCACCTATTCTATAAGATGGCGCACCTCAATCGTGCCGGAATCGACACAAGCAGTTGGTGACCTAATATCTAAGCTTGGTGAGACGATCAGGAAACTATCAGAAGCACTGCGCTTGCCGCAGCAATCAATTAATAACCAAATTTAAGACCTACTTAGTTCGGTAACGAAACTACACGTACGCAAAATGTATTCAACAAGAAGAAGGAGATCAGACGAGATGTCCCAAAAGACTCTAAACGGTGAACTCAACGCCAAAGAGGGAAAATCCAGCCTAGAAACTTAGTCAGTCAAGGGGAACTACAAAAAATGGCTATTGCAAGAGGTATGAAGGCAAAATTCTGCAGAAGGGAAGAAAAATGAGGGGAAGGAAAATGACTGGCAACATGTCAATCGCAAGACCGAGAGAAGAAAACAATGGCCGGAGAGAAAAGTCAGTCTCGATGAGTGGCAAAAGCAATGGAATGCATCAGATAAAGGAAGATGGACATATAGATTAAGAATTGGATTGGATTGACAGACAAGATTGAAAACAAACTTTAAGTAAACGTTAAAGTAAATATTTGCACTTATATTCTTTGACTTGTATATAACTAACTGTTATATTTGCAGAATCAATGAGGACAACAAAAGAGCAAATTAAATGCTACTTAGCATTTCTAGAGCTTCACCCTGAGATGAAGCTCCACAAAAACGATCCCACGCGACCCAAAAGGTTGGAAGAGCTGCAGATCGAGCTTGCTCAGCAGCTAAACGCTTTGATGGAGATAAATMTTTACATATATATATATGTGACCTGGTCTACGGAAAGGGGGCTTAGGTGTCAAAAAATCCAAAAAATCAATTTTCACTTTTTAGTTGATTCGGATGGAAGTTGAGATTTTTAACAGCTGTTTCCCAGAAAACTAGTTTTGGCACGTTAGCTCCCTTTTCGTAGACCAGGTCACATATATATATATTTATATATGTATATATATTTCAATTGTAATAAATATCTTGTTTATTTTACAGTGTTTAAACAATTGGAAAAACTAGATTCGTTCAAGGACAAGAAAGGCGAAAGTAGATAAGATATTGACAGGTGGAGRACCTATGCAAGMAATTGAATCCTCCGAGTTGGCAGAGCGGTCAATGGAAACATTACGGAGGACCGYAGTTGATGGATTTAGAWCGACATTATAATCAATATAGATCCGCAGAGTCCATCAGTAAGCGACATGCAATGAACTTCACGTACTCGAAGGTAGACTTCACAAGAAATGTTTGCTGACATGATGCCTGTGATGAAAARGAGGAGTGACGAAGAGACAAAATTTAGGGAGACATCAAAACAATGCTTCCAAAATGTTGCAGAGTCTTTAAATAATATGGCAGTGTTATTTTAAAGCTGTCGGAAGCTATTTAAAAAAAAAAAWTAAATAACTATATGCTTAAGTGCTTCCTATTTATGTATATTATGTTATGAAATCTGAGTAAATGAGTTTATTAATTTTTTAATGAAAATATACCTAAATTGAAGATTCATTTGTAAACTAGAGGAGCCGTCCACGTTTTACTGTGGCTGATACATAGGTAATACAACTAATATCATCTACATATGTATATGATTTCTAATATTTAGATTATAACTGTTAGTTAAGGAGATATCGCATTTTGGGTGAAGCAACTTGTTAGTTTACAAAAAAAATCAATCAAAAAGCATTTGGTGCGTTAAGGAAGCATTGGTTTTTGGGGAAACATACTGTTGAATTTGGGCTGTGCACCAGTGAAATCAATCGCGCCGACAGTTAGCCTAGTGGACTTCATATTATGAAACGGTTCTCCTGCGTGGCAAGACAAAAAATCGGCCGGGAAGGTTATGGCATCAGTCTTTTGGGATGTCTGTGGTATACTATTCATCGAATGATTACTGAGCCAGTTTTAATTCATTGCACTGTGCATTTGGGTGCAGTTCTATTTCACTTTTCCCAATATTTAGCAATTTTATTATTTTTTAAAAGATTGCTGTAYATCTCAAATTAGAATAGACCTTTTTATCAACACTTTAGTTATGTCGCTATATTTTTATTCTAGATATCRCGTTTGGTTTGWTTGTTTGGTTGGATGCATTTGCATCCTTCGCCCATAATCTAACAAAGTATCCGCAATGCCTTCACGTCGCTTGTTATGCATTCTTGTCCTCTGAAATATTTAGCATGAAGGTATGAAAAAAATTTAATGGCTACCCATAGATGTACTGAATCAGGCAATTTATTACTTAGGAACGAACAACCCTGTCCACATTATGAAAACTTGCTATTGGTCTACAGATGTCGCCTTTTAAGGTATGAATATTGGATAATGCGATGGTTCCAATTTTAATTAAAAATGAAAAATTAGTTTCAAAAAACATTTTCCAGTGGACCAAATTGTGAATCTAAACCATTCTCGAATCGAATTGAACACACACAAATAAAAAATTTCATTAAAATCTGTCCCGCCGTTTAGTTCATTTACAAACACACCGTCAGAAGATTATTATATGTAAAGATATAATCATAGGATTGTGTGAGAGAATTTAGGCAGTGACGTCGTGCATTTATTCCTGCAGTGTAATATTGATTTGTTTAAGCTGTAGAGTTATCATAAAAGGAAGAGTCCTTAAAGTTTTCAATGTCGATTTCATCGAAGTCACATATACCATGTATTTGCAAAATGTTGTGGAAAATTGAGCAAGTATAAACCTAGAACGCGGCGTTTGAAGGTGTATACCTCAGTACCCGCTCTTTAGATAAGCACCGGAAACGAGACTTTAAAACATCAAAGGCTTTTTCAATTATGTTCTTGACCTTTATATGGATTCTGTTATAAAGAATTTAATTTGGTAAAGATGGGTTTGGTATAGGAGCAAAAGCCAGGGCTTAAGTGAATATACTGAGTCACCTAGAAGCCATTTAAATGAACCAGAAACATGTTCCCTTAATATAATAATCTAAAATTCAAATATACTTATATTACTTACATATATCAAATTAATATTTTAAGCTACCGCTTCTGCGCTAGCACCGTAGCAACCCTTTCGTTACATGTATTCATGTGGAATAACTTTAGACCACGAAGGCGGTACAATTATTGAAACATGGGAGCAGTCAATAACACCAATCACTCCTTTTATTCCAAACTTATTATGGAAACTAGATATATGTTTTTGTTTTTATATACTGGTTTTAATTTACCTCACATATAAGTATATACTTTTCTCCATTTTAATTGTGTTGTAGTGCTCTGTTCAGAGCTGGAGGTTTTTTTTTTATTTACCGCGACAAGGGTACTTGTCAGCATTGGAATTCTATTACATTATGACAGCTGATTTAGACACAACAAAGAGAAAAAAATGTAAACAATCAAATTTTCTTTAAAGCAATGAATCTAATTTGAATATTTGAAAGAAGATAGCTTTTATTTCAAAATACTATATGACAATCCTTTCTTTTGATAAATATTAAGCGATGTGAATTCTTGAATGGCAAAAACTGCTGTTTTTACATCTTTGCAACGGGAGTGAGAACGAGCTGATTAGTAAAGTAAATTTAATCTCATCCCTTTAAATTTTTGGTCTGAACATCTAAAATCAAATGTGATTGCTTTCCAATGCTGACACGTGAATGGCGCAACATCAGAGTCACACCGAGWGATTTAGCGTGGATCAGTTTCAAATCACTTCGGTGAAGTGATTTTGAATKGTCATTTTTGTATGGCGAAAGCTTGATAAATGCATAAGATTAGTGGGATAAACCACTCAACAGCCGAAATCGTATGATTAAGTGTCGGTCTGAACATGGTATAACATCCTCATTTTCTTCTCTGAAAACTCATTTGCAATTTCCTATAATGATTTTAATAAAACTGTCCGAATTATGTCACTTTGTGTAAAAACTTGTTTAAAATACTTTGCAACTTTAAGAAGCTATAAATAAAAGTTCACGGAGAAACCCTCACTCTTACGTGTTGAGAGGGGCAGGGTGCAATAGCGCCTTGTGAAATAAGTTATTTCAAAAAAGYCTTTATTACACTTCGAAAGAGAAAGAAAGCTTTAAAGGCCTTATTCCCTTTCATTTTTTTTAATGAAACAATAATATTCTAATTCTTTTTGTATTTTATTGAATAGTTACACACAAATTTCACGTTAACCAAAGTTAATAGAACATTAATAATTCAACGAAAAATTTTCATATTAAGAAAAATTAATGGAATATTAATAATTCAAAAAAAGAACCCCAAATCAAAATAAACGAAAGAAAATTAGACAAAAATGTTTTTGGCTTCTTGAACAATGGTCCGACACACTGGACATAAAGTTGACACAGAATTCCTTTTTTTTCCTCGTCCAATTTTTCACAACAATCACTGCAAATCTTAAAATGACTACATGGCAATAACAATATATTTCTTTGTTTTTCATAACAAATAATGCATGTCAAAGTATTTTCAATGGTGCAAGGCAGGACAGATGGTAAGGTATCWATTATTGGATCAACCTCATCATTCTCAACAACTGTCGTCGTCGTTACACTATCTTGTTCCAGAATAGCGTTCAAAGACACCTCATTATCTAAGTTATAACTTAACTGGCTAAGACAGTCGTTCACACTGATTATACCATTTTCCAAATTTCTTAAAATAGTTTTAATCAAATTTTCTGACGTTTTTTGCCTTTTTAATTTTGCTACACATATTGAAATACTGCCGTCCAATGATTTTTTTAAATCAATTGATTTTGTCACATCTACATCTAGTAAATGGTCTATGAATTTATAAAAACTTCCGTTTTTCGAAAGGTATTTACCCAATTGCCCATGGAACGATTCTATTAAGCTTGTAGTTTTAATGGATTCGTTATAAACGGAGAATTTTGATGCGCCTTCCTAAAAAGAAGGAAGTCATATATGTAGATACATATGTTATTTCTTAAAACGGGAGTGTTAAATCTTTTATGGAATATACCTTTTTAATACACTGTCTCTCGAAATATGCTATGAATTGTTCAAAAATGCTATTTAATATAACTCAAAGCCTGATTATTCAGATTTAGATATCCAATTAATATATCGTCCGGTTTTAACARCGGTAATATTAGAAATTTGCGAAACAATTTTTTTGCATCATTATCTTTATTTAATTTCGACATGAACTTAGGAAGTTTTGAAGCATTCCTTCGAACAGCTTGTGTAAAATGAAACGAACATGTCTTTAATTTTGTTTGTGAATAAATCTGTGACAATGCTTTTCTTAAGCCATACTCAAAATCCGTGGTGAATGTTGTGGGCTTCATGTCAAAAATATTACTTTGGATGTATTGTAGTACATGGATATATGCATTCAAAGATTTGTTTGACATTAAAATGTTGATAAAAGGAAATGTCTGAAAAAAAGATATACAAATATTAATTTAACCGCAACAATATTTAAAAAGAATATACTTACATGTTCATTATGAGCAATATGAAATATTAGCAGCTGTTTAAAGCTATTGGAACTACTTATCGGTAATACACCAAAAGTCCCATCTATTAAATAATGACGTGGTTCGCCAGTAGGCATATCCATTATTGAGTTACACATTGTAGGGGACACAAAAATTGAGTAACCGAAATCCTCTTTTTGTAATTCTCATCATACACTTGACGAACCCTTGATCTTTTCAATGACATTCTATTAGCGCATTCGAATTTAATACAATTAATTAAACTTAATTTCTTTATAAATTCATTTTGGGCCTCATGGTTGTGCACTAAGTTTTTATTTGTTTTACGGCAATGTATTGCATTGTTCACATCCACGGCAATATTGACGGGACATCCCTTTCGATAACAATTATAATATTTTGTATTATTTTGAGAATATTTAAATTTATCAATTTGTCCCTCTGTTGGAATATGTAATAATTTGCTGGTTTTCCTTAGAACCCGGAATTATATTAAAAACAAGTATATCATCACTTTCCATTTTCACAATTTTAAAGAATTAATTGAACAACACACGTGGTTTA